CATTTTCTGTGGCCGTTTGCGGTTCAGTACGCAGCGCATCAGCTCAACCTTCAGCCCCGGGTCTCCTTGCCAGATACCTCCTCCACCTTGCGGTGGACGGGCAAGGTTGGCGATGCGTCTGCGTTTCGTGTCTGGGGATCTCGGGCGTTTGTCCGCGACTTGTCTGCGGACAAGCTGTCCCCCCGTGCTGTTCCCTGCGTCTTCCTTGGCTTCCCCCCTGACGCGCCTGGTTGGCAGTTTTACCACCCCACCTCGCGCCGTGTTCTGTCCTCCCAGGACGTCACCTTTGACGAGTCGGTGCCTTACTACCGTCTCTTCCCCTACCGCACTGCGCCCCTCCCCCCGCCGCCGCTCTTCCTTGCACCAGGTCCTCCCCCGGTAGACCCTCTCCCCCCTCAGGGTCCTGCCCCGTCAGGTGTGTCCCAGGTAGACGTAGTCGAGCCTGTCGAGGTAGCTGTTGACTCTAGTGCTGGTAGGGGTGCTGAGCCTGCGGGTGCCGGGTCTGGGGGTACTGAGCCTGGGGGTGCGGAGCCTGGGGGTGCTGAGTCTAGGGGTGCTGAGCCTGCGGGTGCCGGGTCTGGGGGTGCTGAGCCTGGGGGTGCGGAGCCTGGGGGTGCTGAGCCTGGGGGTGCGGAGCCTGCGGGGGCGGAGCCCGGGGGTGCTGGGTCTGCTCGTGTGGCCTCTGGCGGTGCTTCGTCGAGGCGGGAGCCACCCTCTCCGCAGGAGCTGCGCGAGTGGTTTGCCCGGCGCTGGAGCCGTGCTGCTGGAGCTGGAGGTGCTACTGTTGCTGCTGGTCCTGGAGGTGCTTGTACTGGCGGTACTGGAGCTGCTGGGACTAGGGGTGCTGCTGGGGCTACTGGAGTTGGTCCTGCTGGAGGTACTGCTGGAGCTGCTGGCGGTACTGGAGCTGACGGTCTTCCTGGAGCTGGAGTTGCTGGAGCTGCTGGAGCTGGAGCAGCTGGGGGTGTTGGCGCTGGAGGTGCTGCTGGCGCTGGTACTTCTGAGGGTGCTGGAGTTGGCGCTGTTGGAGCTGGAGGTGCTGCTGGCGCTGGTGCTGCCGCTCGGGGTACTGGTGCTGTCCTTGCTGGTTCTGGAGGCGCTGCGCGGCCGCGGCCGTACTTCGTTCCGCTCCTTGAGCAGGTTCTTGGTCTCCCGCCCTCTACTGGTCCTGCTCCTCCCTTAGCGTGTCCACAGCCTGTCCAGTCGCGGTCACAGTTACAGCCCGCCTCCCCCCTACCTGCTCCTTCTCCCTACACTGGTCCTACTGGAGGTCTTGCTGAGCGTCGTGAGCCTGCGTCTCGTCCTGCGTCGCCTGTTCGTGCTGCTCGCACTAGTAGTCGTGCTCTGCGTCCGCGTCCTCCTGCGGTCCCAGGCACACACCAGATGGCACTGCGTCCTTCCACTGCTCCTTTGCGTGTCCCGTTGCCGTCTCCTCCAGAGTCCTCTCTTCCTGTCCTTGCTGACCCGGAGTCTGACTCTCTTCGTGCTGCCAGTCCTACTGTCACGCGTCTCCTGGCTACTGTCGTCACTGACCCTTCCTTTGAGTCCACTGCTGCGTCTGCCTTGGTTGCTGAGCTTGTCGACTTTGCTGCTCCCTGTCGTCTGGACTACGCTGCTAGTCTTGTTGCTGAGTCTGAGTCTGTCTGTCCTCCGTCCGTCGGGGGTGAGTGTGCTCTTAGCACGGACGTCCTTGAGGACAGGCAGGAGGAGTTCCAGTGTTTTGCTGCTGCTTTGCCTCATCTCGTGTCCACGCTGATTGCCCCTGAGGGAGACCCGGATGCACCAGACATCCCGACTCCTCGATCGTACGCTGAGGCGATCGAGGGTCCCTACTCCTCACAGTGGCAGTCAGCCATGGACGCAGAGATGGCTTCCTGGAAGTCCACGGGCACTTACGTCGACGAGGTTCCCCCTCCTGGGGCGAACATCGTCAGTGGCATGTGGATTTTCAGGGTGAAGCGGCCACCGGGTTCTCCGCCTGTCTTCAAGGCGCGTTACGTGGCTCGAGGCTTCAGTCAGCGGCAGGGAGTTGACTACTTTCAGACCTTCTCTCCCACCCCGAAGATGACCACTCTTCGGGTGCTACTGCACATAGCCGCTCAGCGTGACTACGAGCTTCACTCTCTTGACTTCAGCACAGCTTTCCTGCAGGGCAGCCTGCACGAGGAGATCTGGCTGCGCCGCCCACCTGGCTTCACTGGGTCGTTTCCCCCTGGTACCCAGTGGAGCCTCCGGCGGCCAGTCTACGGTCTCCGCCAGGCGCCCCGTGAGTGGCACGACACACTGAGGACTACACTTGCGGCTCTTGGGTTTGCTCCTTCTACTGCCGACCCGTCGCTGTTTCTGCGCACCGACACCTCTTTGCCGCCGTTCTACATCCTCGTGTACGTCGACGACTTGGTCTTTGCCACTGCTGACACTGCTGGACTCGCCCACGTGAAGTCCGAGCTGCAGAAGAGACACACGTGCACAGACCTGGGTGAACTGCGCAGCTACCTTGGCTTGCAGATCACCCGGGACGGAGCACAGCGCACCATTACCCTGACCCAGTCACACATGGTGCAGCAGGTCCTTCAGCGCTTCGACTTCACGTACTCCTCGCCTCAGGCCACTCCTCTGTCTACTCGCCACTCGCTCTCAGCTCTGCCTTCGGATGAGTCCGTAGAGCCGAGTGGCCCGTACCCAGAGCTTGTTGGCTGCCTCATGTACCTAATGACCTGCACACGACCTGACCTTGCATACCCTCTTAGCATCTTGGCACGCTATGTTGCTCCTGGGAGACACCGACCAGAGCACATGGCTGCAGCGAAGAGGGTGTTGCGCTACTTGTGCAGTACGTCGGGCATGGGGCTGGTGCTTGGAGGGCGACGTCCAGTGGTCCTCACAGGTCACGCAGACGCTTCTTGGGCTGACGACCAGGCTACGCAGCGGTCGTCACAAGGTTACACCTTCAGCCTTGGTTCCGGCTCTGTTTCGTGGCGGTCTACCCGCTCGTCTTCTGTTCTCGGCTCCAGCTGTGAGGCTGAGATCTACGCGGGGGCCATGGCTGCACAGGAGCTACGCTGGCTCACCTACCTGCTGACTGACCTAGGAGCGCCGCCTCGTTCTCCTCCAGTTCTGTACGTAGACAACAAGGCCATGCTGGCCTTGTGTCGGGAGCACAGACTGGAGCACAGAACGAAGCACATTGCCCTTCGCTACTTCCTTGCTCGTGAGCTGCAGCAGCGTGGTCAGCTGCGCCTTGCTTACGTGGCCTCTGAGGCCAACACTGCTGATATCTTTACCAAGGCACTTCCGCCTTGTGATCATCAGCGCTTCTGTACGATGCTAGGTCTTGTGCCTACTTGGCCTCACTTGCTCACTTCTTGACCTTGCTTGTACTGTGATCTTTCTATACCTGCACTTGCTTGTTTACCTTTATATATGATCTTGTATGTGAACTGGCCTTGTGGCCTTGAACTTGTGCTCGGAATGTGTGGTGACGTTGTGATCCACCCTGAGCTTGCTTTGCTTAGCTTGACTGGTCTTGTGACCTCTTGTTCTCCCCCACTTTGCCTATGGGGGTGTGTCAAACTTATATGCTATGGTCTATCTAGGCTGTAGTGGGGTAGACACTATAGGGTACAACATTTCTAGGTTTCCTACTTGTACCCACATTCTTCTTAGTCATTCATTCCTCGTTCTTTCACACAGACAGCATCAGGCAGCTGCAGGCAGGATGGCTTCGGCGCGAACAGTTACGTAACTGTTCGCGCCGCACGGTTGGGAATGTATTTGAATAAGGGAATGTACCCCTTAGAGTACATGGCTAGCTAGGTCGTTTCATCTCCGCTGTACTCATATTTATATTTGCTGTATTTGCATGTTTTATTCATCTCAAGCATTTACATTCACTCTGCTATTGAGGTCAAGGGCCCACCAACATCACTTCTCTGCGTGCGAACCTTCCTGAGTAGATCCTAGGCCACGATCAACTTCTTATCGCAGCACATTATTTCGTTTTGTGCGTGAATGTTTAGCATGCTATGAAGATAAGCTAGCACATAATATGGCCTTCTCTTTGAAGCACTTGGTGGAAACGCATTATAACTGCAAATGATAGACAATGAATTGAAGAAATTAAATATTAAGTGTTCCAGAAATTTACGTCATCCTTTGCATGCTGAAGTCCTGAACACCAGGGTGCTCCAGCAAAGCTGCATCAAAACAAACAACGCAGGTCAATAAAGATTCTGCTAATATAATCAATTTTTGCAGATGCAAATTGTAACAACAGGACGTTACCTCTCAATTCTTCCGATGTCGTGATCATTCGCAGGTCAAGCAGTCGCAACAATCTCCCCACGTCCACCGCGCTTGTCCAGTTCTCCGGAACATGCCCCCGCCGCAGTTTGAGCCGCCCGCGATTCGCCGTGCCCCCCCAAATCACGCCGATTGGTCGAAGCACATTGTCGCCATCCGTGCGATCACGGCCGTCCGTCGAATCACCTTCACGGTTTGGTATTGCCAGGATGAGACTGCCGCTGTCGCCCTCCTGATCGAACGGCTGTCCTTGCTCGCCGAGAATGAGGAAGTCGGTGAAAAGGGTACGGCTGCGTTTGTCGTTATATTCCACCGCGTACCCCATTATGCGCCCGTGCGTCACGCCCGATGTCGCTCCTATCTGCCGCGGGGAAGGGCGGGCGAGAGGTGGACGGGAGAGGTGCAGGGCAGGGAGAATGGAGAAGAGAGAACGATGAGGTGGAGTTGCACAAGAGCGGGAGAGAGAGAGAGAGAGAGAGAGAGAGAGAGAGAGAGAGAGAGAGAGAGAGAGAGAGAGAGAGAGAGAGAGAGAGAGAGAGAGAGAGAGAGAGAGAGAGAGAGAGAGAGAGGGGGGGAGAGGGTGTGCTGGGAGGGCCTCGTTTACGTGGCGTGGTCTTGCCAGCGGAAATGTGCTCTCATTGGGAGGTACTGGGGGAGGGGTCAGGTGGGGAGGGGGGAGGTGGGTGAGAGTGACGGGATTAAAGAATAGGAGAAAGAGTGTCAGTTGGAAGACTGTGTTTGAGGAACAAAGGGAGGAGAAAGAGAGGGAGGAGGGGGTGAAAAGGGGAGGGCTGGAAGGAGGAGGGACAAGGATAGAGTAACAAAAAAAGGGAAAGAGAGAGGGGAGGATTGGGTGGGGGGGCTGGGGGGTGGCGAAGGGGGTTTGAGAAAGGAACAAGAGATGAGAGGGTGAACACTTTGTGTTAAACAGAGTAAGTACCTGGGAACCTGTAGGCTGCCATGCATTGGGCATACAGCATGGCAGGAGGTGCTTTGACTCGTGGCATGGCATGGCATGGGATGGCATGGCATGGCAGCGCACGGAGTATGACCTTGCAGACAGGGCGGTTGATGAGGGACCCGATGGCATCATGCAGTGAGACGGCGCAGGGTTGCCCCATGGCGCCCAGCCCTCGCAGCTCTGGTGTGATAATACTCGTTTCCAGCGACCGGTGCAGCGGCACGAACGCTGCATCCACCCGCACGTACGCCTCTGTGTGTGCACACAAGGGGAGAGGGGAGGGGGGAGAGAGAAGGGCGAAGGGGGAAGGGGCCTGCAAGTTATGGCGGCTGGAAGTGATGAGTGGGTGGCCAAGGCACATTCTGGCCAACTTGCAGCGAGTTGTTGAATAGCGCGCATCAAGTAATGAGGGCGGCTGAACAGAGTGCAGCAAGTAATGAGGGCGGCTGAACAGAGTGCAGCACGTAATAAGGGCGGCTGAACAGTGTGCAGCACGTAATAAGGAATAAGCAGCATGTGAAATGAGCAGGCAGCATGTCATAAGAATGTGCGATATGCACTTAGGGGCGTACAGCGTTTGATAAGAGCATGCGGCGTGTGAGAATTCGTGTGGGAATTCGTGTGGGATGTAACTAGGGCGTGCAGCAAGCAATACAACTGTGTACCATATAATACGGGCCTGCAGCATGTGAAGATAGCTATATAGGGCATCCACCATGTGAAACGAGTGTGCAGCATGCTATAGTAGCGTGCACCATGTGCTTAGAGGGTTGGGCATGTGAAAAGAGCATTTGATAAGCAGATGCATCACGCGAAAGCAGCGTGTGGCATGTGAAAAGAGCATGAAACATGTCATCAGCACGTGATGCATATCGTAAGAGGGTGTGGCATGTGATGAGAGCATGCGGCAAGGGATAGAGCAAGCCATGTGTGATAGCGCATGCAGCATGTGATAAATGCATGCGACATGGGATAAGTGTTCATGGCATGTGCTTCGAGCACGCGGCTTGCCATAAGAGCATGTGCCATGTCATAGAAGCGTGGGCCATGTGAAAAAACCATGCAACATGTCATGTTGTAAGTGGGTGTGGCATGTGATAAGAGCATGGAGCATGTGATAAGTGCGTGCTCCATGTACTAAGAGCGTTGAGCATGTGATAAGAGCACGAGGGATATGATAAAAGCGTGTGACATGTGATTATGAGCCTGTGGCATGTGATAAGAGCATGGGACATGTGCTAAGTGCATATGGTATGTGCGAAGTGCGTGTGGCATGTAGTAAAAGCGCGGGGCATGCATGCAACATGTGAGAAGCACGTGCTACATGTGATAAGAGCATGCGGCATGTGCTCCTGCATGGGGCTTGCAATAAGGGAGTGTGGCATTTTAAAAAGGCGTGCGACATGCTATTGGAGCTTGCATGCGCCATAATCTAAGAGCGTGTGGCATGATATAATTGCGTGGAGAATGTGTTGCATGCGATAAGAGCATACGAGATGTGATCAGAGCATGCCGCATAGGATAAGAGCGTGTGGCATGTGATAAGAGTGCACGCTCGCCCTGAAGTTTAAGAACTAAAAATTATGACTTCAAGAATGACATCAAATAAGAGCGTGTCGCATCTTATTCAAGCGTGCTGCATGAGATAAGAGAATGCAGCTTGTGATAAGAGCATGTGAAAGGCGCATGCAGCATGTGGTAAAAGAACGCCATACAAGATAAGGGTACGTTCTTGCCTGGTGTCAGGCTCGCTGGCACAAGGCTAATGGACGATTTTGATCATTCCACGTCGTCATCGTCAAAATCTAGCAAGATCCCAATCTTTCATAGCTTGGTGTCAATATTCTAGACACCAGCCAAGAACGTACCCTAAGAGCATGCGGCATGTGATAACAGCATTCAAAACACCACCAATCCCCCTGTCCCTCCCACACGCGCACTCACCAGTGTTGGGCGTGGCAAACATGCCGTACCACACACTATCTGAAGATAGCGACGCTACCCGCTCCACCAATCCCAGCAGCACGTGATAACAGCGTTCAGAATACCACTAGCCCCTCCGCCCTCCCACACGCGCACTCACCAGTGTTGGGCGTGGCAAACATGCCGTACCACGCGCTATCCGAAGTGAACGAAGCCGCCCGCTCCACAAGCCCCAGCAGCACGCCTGGGCCCCTACTAGGCGGCAGCGGGTGGTGCAGAGCCTGGCGCGGCTGGTTGAAATCCACTGCCACGTGTCTGTTTGTCAGCACTCCCACTGCACGCTCTCCTCTTGTGCTCACCACTACCGCTGTCAGTGTACCGTACGTGCCCTCGCTTGCTACCTGCGACCCTGGCCCCACGTCCCCTGCGGCCCCTTTCATTTCTTCCACCACTGCTACTGCTGGTGCTGCTCTTCTGCTGCGCCCGGCCCTCCTGTGCCCCGCGCCTGCCCCTCCCGCGCCCTCCCTTGCGCTCCACACGCGCTCTCTGCTGGGCTCTGGATCAGCAAAACCAGCACCAGTACCAATACGAGCATCAGGAGCAGCAGCCATGACAGAAATGTCTATCTCCCCATGTGGGTCAGCAGTGGAAGGAGGAGGAGAAGGGGTAGCAGAAGTGGGAGGGGACGCCTGAGCAGCATACGTGGCAGCAGCAGGGGCATCTGTATAGCAAAACTCTACCACGTCCACGTCACACACCACCCCTGTGGGCCCCACAAGCTGACGTGGCAGCATCTGGCCGTCCGGCACCCACAACTGGTGCACCTTACAGGACACAAACACGATAATCGCAGGGAGGGACGAGAGCTGCCCTTCTCTGGTCCGCATGCCCAGGGCCGTGCCCAGGGAGTGGCGCGGCAGGCGCAGCAGAGAGGAGTGCAGCGCGCGGATGACCATGAGGTCGTGGAGGGTGTGTGCTGGTACAAGGCACGGCGGGTACGACGGGGACGGGGCAACGGTTTGCTCTGGACAGGTATGGGCAGCAGCATTGGGATCCTGGGGAGATGCCACGGAGAGAGGTCTCTTTGGTGGGCGGGGCACGGGTGGGGCCTCTGTGCTCTGGCCCTGCTCAGCCAGTGCAGCGCCCTCTTTGCTGGTGAAGCGCGGGGGAGCAGCACCCACTGCACCCGCTGCACCCACTGCACCCGCTGCACCCGCTGCACCCGCTGCACCCGCTGCACCCGCTGCACCCACTGCACCCGCTGCACCCGCTGCACCCACTGCCTGCGCCTCTTGCTCTGCCTCTTCCCCCCTTCTGGGGTCGTGTGCTGCTGCCGCCCTTTTTGCTCCGTGCACCCTTCGTCTGGCGCGCTCTCTTTCCCCCTCGCCACCCATCTCCACTCTCCCCTCTGCCAGCATGCTTCCATGCGTACCCATGCCCATCTCTCCACCACCCGCCCCACCTCTCAGTGTCTGCGCTTTTCCAGCCCCTTCACCCCTCTGTCCCTCGTCTCTCGCCCTCTTCCCCCTCTCTCTCGCACCATCTCCAGCTTCCCCGCTTCTCTCCTGTGTATTCTCCATAGCCGTCTCACCCCACCCGACCCGTGCTGCAACCATGCCTTGTCCCAGTGCTGCTGCCTTGCCAAGCCACCCTTCCACATGACTCCTGCCGTGCCCTGCCACGTCTCCTGTGCCTTGCCCTTGCATCTCCCATCGTTCTACCGTCTCCTCCACTCCCTTCAAATGCAAAACCTCCTCCACTTGCACCCATGTTTCCTCTCTCCTGCCTCTCACCAACCTCCCTCCTAAGCCCTTCTCTCCACTCGAACCACCACCGCCGCCTTGCTCCTCCCCCCTTGCCCATTCCCCACCACCGATTTGCGTGCCTTCATCCCCACTCACTGCTACCCCACGCCCACCCACCGCCCCCTCTTCTGCCCGCTTACCTGCATCCTCCTCCTCCTCCCCCCCCCTCTTTTCCCTATGCACGTCCAAGAGGGATATGGCGTCAGGAGGGGACGCACGACCCCCCTCCTGCCCGCCACCCACTGGCTCGATTTCTCTCCCCTCACCACGCACACCACCAGGCACACCACCACGCACACCACCACGCACACCACCACGCACACCACCAGGCACACCACCACGCACACCACCAGGCACACCACCAGGCACACCACCAGGCACACACCAGGCACACCAGCCACGCACACCACCAGGCACACCACCAGGCACACCACCACGCACACCACCAGGCACACCACCAGGCACACCACCACGCACACCACCAGGCACACCACCAGGCACACCACCAGGCACACCACCAGGCACACCACCAGGCACACCACCAGGCACACCACCAGGCA